TTTTCATTCTGCAGACACTCCGTATGTAGAAGTAGGGGGGGGAGGGTAAAGTGTGGGCTAATAACTCATTTCCCAGTTAATTTTATTAAGAATTTATAGCACTGTTTAGAAAGTTTTAAGACAACCATAAATTTTATTAGGAATATTTTATTAAGCCCTCCATTTAATTAATAAAAGACCTCTATAACTTCTGAAAATGTCAGAGCTAGTAATTATGTTAACCAGTGTAATTTTTCCCCCTCTAGAGACCAAAGCATTTTAATGATTTGAAATAGAAAGGTAGTAAGGAAAACACCCTCCCCCCACCACCAAATTTTTTTCTTGACTTTTGCATTATCCAGTCAGAATATAGTGACTGAGGTATTTTCCCTGCAAAGGTTGGAGAGCCGAAGCTGACCTCTCATTGACTTCTGAACTGGACCCAGACATTCTTTGTTTTCTGAAGCAAAATGCAGTAAACAAATCTCCCAGTTCTTATGGCCAGGATTGCTTCAGGGCACTTGATTAGCGTCTTCCCTAATCCCCTTGGTTAACCCCCTTCCCTATCACCTAACCAGGTTTCTCCCTTTTATAGACCTCTAAATAGTTTATTTCACTTTTCTCACAGCCATTCATTAGCTTTGACTTCTTGGTACCTTTCTCATATCACATCTAGGCTCTTATCTCCAGCATTCCTCTATTATCTCTACTAGATTTTAAATCTATTTTCTTTAAACTGTCTTTCCCTCCTCTTATTTCTGTTTTTTGAAATGCAAATGCTAATGTGGGGGTAAGATGAGGAGGATGAGTGTTCTTGAAGTACAAACCCCAAGCCTCCAAACCACAGGACGACCTAAAGAGCAATCACAACCTTTTAACAGGCATCTTAAAGTTAGGTGGCAGATGATAAACCCTTATCATTCTGTGAACACAGCTGCCAAACTCGATTGATTAACAGGCTTTTGTTTATTCTGGGCTGGCAAATACACACACATTTTACCTTAAGAGGTGCCTCTTTAATTTCTGAGGGTTTGGGAACTGATTCATCAGTGTGAACTTTGAGGACAAAAGCCTAATTCAGGATATAGGTCTTTCCAAAGGCACAATTCCTTATAGGAGAACAGAAGATTAGAGGGGAGTTCTCAGAGAGGACTGCACCAACAGCCTAAAGGGGCACTACTTGCTTTAAATGCCTCCTTGCAGGAGGGTCCAAACAATAGAGACCTAGGCCCCAGCCTCCTTTTTTATAGTCCTAGTTCTCTATCTTTGGGAAGATGTTCTGGGATATGAAGGGTAAGCTGAATATGGAAGGCCCATGTCACAAAAGCTAGGGGCAAGTGCCAGAACTCTTCACCAGGCCAAGTTTTTGCAAAATAAAAGTACTATTACCTTAAAAAGCAAGTATCTTAAATAAGCTAAGGATGGGTATCGTCACCGAACAGCTATAAATATCTGTAGTAGTTTACTAAGATACCTAGAACTATCTATCCCTTTACCTTTTTCTTTTAATAGATGATTAATTGCTGCCCTGCTAAAGGAGTTTTGTATTTTCTTTTTATGGCTACTATATTGCAATTCTAGATGTCCTCTGTGCAATTTCTCTCAGCAAGCCCCAACTGTAATAACTGTTTGCTAATTGTAAAATCCTTATCCAGAATGAGGTTTGGGCAAACAATTTGTACTACTGTAATTACATTGTAAAAGTGTTTTAGTCCCTTGATTGTTCAGAATTAATCTTACAAAGACCTAGGAGTAGCATTAGGTTCACAGTTATAAATGGAAAGGGAGGGGGGAGAAAGAAGACACTTTCAAAACTAATAAGAGTTTATTTTAAGCCCATAAACTCGAACTATCTCTTTCTTTCAGAAAAATTTGTGTGTAGGTCATTTCAGTACATTTATAAGGTAATCTGACACATCATGGTTGAAGCACACAATAGTCTTCCTACTGCTTTGAAGTTTTTGGTTTGAAAAGGAGTGACTTACCTGAACCTTCTTTTTTTATCTCTGCTAGAAAAAAAAATGAAAAAATTTACTGGAGAGCAACAACACAAAATAAATTCTATCGTCAAAGAAATAGATATCAAAACTGGCTTTTTCCAAATTTGAAACCGTGGCTGCAGAGTTGAGGTAACTCCAAGCGGGTTACCTAAGTCTTTGCCAGAGAACACCTACGACTGTTAAAGACCATGGTCATCGAGATGCATTTCGCAGTAAATTTCTCTCAGTTAAATTATACTTACACAACTTCCCTCGCAGTTCATTTAAGCATCATAAATGTAGATGTGCCCACGTCGCTGTTTGCCTTGACCCCCTTCCTGATTCCCCCTACCTCCAGCCGCGCTGATGCCTGTCGGGCCTACTGGAAAAAACGTTCACACCCCGCCAGCAGCCGTCGGAAGGCGCTCAGGTGTTGGCCGCAGCCTGCTGGGGTTCGGGGAAGGGTTTCCAGGCTGCCAGCCCAGTTTGATCCTCTCCGTAATCGGAAAAGGATTGCGTTTCAGGGCCCAGCCAGCGCAGCTTCCCGAGAATTAAACAGAGAAATGCCTTCCTGAGACCGGGAGATTCCATCTTGGCCTCAAGTTCTTTTTCCAAGTTCATGGGGGGGGGGGGGGGGGGCTCCGTGCCATCGCGTGTCAGGCGCTCGCCTCCTGGGGTCGTGGCCCGCTGCTGCACGACTCGGGGGGGGGGGGCGGGTGTCAGGCAGTGGCATAAAGGCGCTGGTAATTTACTTGCATTCCCTGGGCTTTGGCACGCCGGCCTGTCTTAACCGCCCGCGTGATGTATCGGGGCGTTTGTACCAGAAAACTCTACACGTTTGCGATGAAGAAAAGTAAAAGATCCTAAAACTTGGGGAGGGATGACAGAGGAGGAGGGAGAGGGAAAGAAAGGAAAAGAGAAGAGAGAGATGCAAATGACGAAGGATCCTAGTATGAATTTTTAAAACAGTCGGAGCTCTTTCAAGGCAAAGCACATCCGAAGGCTTTGGGTGAACGCGTCAGCCCTTTAGCCACACTTGGGGCCAGTACGGCGTTGGGGCGGAGGTGGGTGCGGGAAGCTGGGAAGGCTTAGCTGCTTGGCCTTATGAAAACTCCACTATTAGGGGGAACTGGGCGTTGATTCGTGCGAAGTGCTAAAAGAAGCAATAGATGTCGCTTAGGGGAGGCTACGTGCGCTCGGTGGAACCTGATTCCAGATCTATGTTCTGATGCTCGCCCTGAGTCCCCTGCTCCTCCAAATCCCACTTGGAAACTTGAGTCCTGCCTCTCGGACAGATGCAAATTCTCTTTTAGTTTGCGCATTAAGAGTTGTCCTCAACACATTTTAGAGCTCCGAACCTTTTCCAAACAATCTCCGTGGATAGGGGACCCCTAATCTTTCTCAAAACTCCTCCCCCTACCCACATCCCTCTTTGGGTGAGGGTTCGGGCCGCAGCTGGTGGGATGGGGGTGGGGACGATGGAAACGAGGGGCCGGCTGCTTTAGTGGAGACTGCCTTTTGGCCACCATCAGGGCGGGAATCGGGACTGGCAGTTTGCATTCCCGGCAGATCGAAGCTCCCTGCTGATCGATTATTTGATAATTGATTTTCCCCGCAGCCAATGCGCGGCCGCCTTGGCGGGAGCGCCTCCTGATTGGCGGAGCCCTCCTCCACGGCTGCCTACCGAGATTTGGGTGAGCTCATTTTCCAGTCGACCGCAGGGGGAGTTTTCTGCGAGGTTTCAGCTGGAGGGAGGGAAAAAAATCCTGCTCCGAGCCGAGCGAGCTGCGAGCCCTGCTCCGGGATGTGAGATTTCCAGCCCGCGTCGAGCTGCTGCGGCTGAGCCATCTCGGCAGATCAGAGCCGGGCGGGCAGAAAAATAAAAACGAAATAACACCACTAAATAGAATAATAAAGGGCAGACTTAGAGTGAGAGAATAAAGAAAAGGAATTTTGTTGTTGTTTAAGGCAGAGAATAGGTATTTAAAGGGAAAAAGTTAAAATCAGTGGCTGATTGGAGCCTCTGAGCTGTGGCTAGCGGCAGCTTTTTGTCTGAAATCTCAGCTCCCGAACTGAATTTCTTGTTCTTTGGCACTGGGAGTTTTCCCTGAGCCGGGTTGGGGACAGGAGAGCGGAGTAAGGAGAAGGGCAGGGGAGGAGAGCGCGGGGCGTCGCCGGGGAAAGAGCTCCGGCCCGAGCACTGCTGAGGCCGGAGCCCCACGGCGCCTTGAAGACAAAGGCGGCGCGGCGTAGCCCGAGCTGAGCGCGCCGACCCCGCCGCGCCGCGCCGCGCCCTGGGCGCACGGCCGCCTCGCCCGGAACGGGTCGGAGAAAGAGCCTCCCTCTCCGGGGATCCGCGGCCCCGTCTCCACCCGCGAGGTCTGGGCTGCTCCGAGCCCGCGTCGGGTTTCGCTTTCCGGCGATCATAAATAGCTTCGTGTTTGTAAACAGGCGCTGGGGGCACATTCCCGGCTCTCAGCTTATTGTTCCCTCCCTTCCTCTCTCACTTCGCGCAGGACGCCGGGGCTGGGGCTGGGGGCCTCCGGGGCTAGGAGGTGGGGGCGCCCAGACGCTAAAGTGAGAAAATGCAAGCATTTCCTTTCCTTGGGCCGGGTGTCCACTTCCGACAGCAAAAACCTCTAAGCTGGATCTGCAGAAAGCCCCAGCCATCTCTACCCCACGTTCTCGGGACTCCCTAGCAGAGTCTTCCCCAGCCTTTCTCCTGCTCCTCCTCCTCGCTCCGGGTTTGACTTTTCTACTTGGGGTGTTTAGTTCTGAGAATCCAGTACTCGCCGCTTCTCCCCCCTCCGCCCCGAAAAATACTGGCAGACCCCAATAATTTCGAGGAAAGTCATGAAGTCTATGCGCGGAGCCCTGTGCAAAATAACTCCGGCTGCTGCCTGCCCAGCGTTTATTCCCAATTTATTTCAAGAGAGTCGGCTTTAGGGAGAAAGTCTGGAGGGGGAGAGAGAGAAAAGAATACGGAAAATAAAGCCGGCGGCTAGGGGCTGCTGCCCGCATTTGTGTGCGTGTGCCCTGGGTGTGTGGGTGTTTGTGCCTGGGCGTGCGATTTAATGGAGCGCCTCTCTGCCTCTCCAGTGCGGCCAGAGCTCGCTTCGCTCACCCACCCCTGCCGAGGAGCCTACTTGCTGCAGCCCAATGCATTGTGTAAGACGCGACCTGTTATGGCCACCACTACTTCCGGGTTCTAGCATTCTGGTCGGAATCCACCTCTCCGCCTGTGCAACACACACTTTACACACGCACGGGGACTGCAAGCGGGCAGCATCGATCGTGGCTCCTTTAAGACAAACTCAGACAGACATTTTTTTTAACCCTCCTCCTCTAATCTCCCTCCAGTGCAGCAGTTGCAAAGAGGGAGAGAGAGAGAGAGAGAGAGAGAGAAAGAGAAAGAGAGAGCGAGCGAGAGAAGAGAGAAACTGATTAGGAATTAGGACTGATTCAAGGGAAGCGAGCGCTAGGGCTTTGTGCATTTGAATATTAACATTTGAGGTGTTCTGACCAGAAGAAGACAGAGCGGATGATCATTCATTCACCACGTTGACAACCTCGCCTGTGATTGACAGCCGGAGTGGCAGAAAGCCATGAGATTTGGTAGTTGGGTCTGAGGGGCGCTCTTTTTTTTTTTTTTTTTAAACTGATTTTTTGGGGAGAGAAGATCTGCTTTTTTTGCCCCCGCTGCTGTCTTGGAAACGGAGCGCTTTTATGCTCAGTGACTCGGGCGCTTTGCTTCAGGTCCCGTAGACCGAAGATCTGGGACCAGTAGCTCACGTTGCTGGAGACCTTAAGGGATTTTTCGTCGTGCTTTTCAAATTTTTTTTCCGGGGGAATTTGCTTATTTGTTTCTTTTCACACTGGCCTTAAAGAGGATATATTAGAAGTTGAAGTAGGAAGGGAGCCAGGGAGGCCGATGGCGCAAAGGGTACGTATTAAAAAACAATTGTGGAACTCAAATGTGAGATTAAATTGAAACGTGACTGAAAGACACTGCTAAAAAGTTTCCTTTTTTCTCTCTGTCTTTTTGAATGAGGCTTCTAAAGCCGTGGCCTAAAGCGAGAGGATTTATTCAATGCATTTGTAGACTTATGTATGTTACATGTAATTGTTAATTCAAGTAATCAAGTTTTCTATAGATTCCTAACCAGCAGCTATATAAACAAAAATACAAGCTCGGGCAATCATTTGTTTGGAAAACAGAAACAAAAAAACGCTAGATATCTAATGCTACAATGTGAGCGTTCAGGGAGCAGAAGTTTAAAGCTATTTTTAAACTAAAATAAGCAACGAGAAACTTCTGATATGTTATTGATTATGCTCATCCTTAATATCATTAGAAGTATTTAGCTGTTTAAGCAAATAACTTTGTCATAGTACAACGGTTTTCTGGGTCGGAAAACATCCATCTTTTAAAAGTAATTTTAATGTGCACAGATTTTTATGCAAGGTAATACTTTGAAAGTTTTTCCTAGAAAAGCCCAGCACTAATTGGATACTAAGCACACAGCTACTCACTTTAAAAATGCAATACTAATTTCCCCAATATTCCTATTTGAATGGAAATGTAGTGAGAGTAAAATGAGACAATGACAACCCAACTGAGGTAGTTTCTTAAAAGAAAAGGGGTCTACAAAAAGCCTTCCTTGCATAATTTGTGTCCTGGCCCTCAAAGCCCTGTTTGCAAAAGAAAGTTACTAGGCTGACACATTTTTCTTTACTCCTTTGGTTCAGGCAAATGTCAGCGTTCTTCCAAACTCTTTTCACACCTCTGGCTTTAAGGAGATGAAAGTGGCAATTCCTCTTTTCTTTGAAAATCAATTCACTCTGGGCGCCTCCAAATCTTGGGAAAAGAACTTGCCTGGAATGAAGCAATGAGAAAAATCTAAATAGCTAAATTTCACACACAAAAATAATGACAATCAATATGAAAGTAGTTTTTCTGGAGGAGGAAGATGGGGGGTTGCATATGCATTTGCTTTTGAATTTGCTTTAAACTTGATGAGTAATATTTGCTTCATTGACTTCTAGTCCAAGGAGAAAGTTCATAAGAGTAGAAAAAATAGTATAACTGCTCCAACTATAGATTTTCTTTAACTTTGGGGGAAAATTGTCCAATTCTAATTTCAGCTCTAATGTACAAGAAAACATACCCTTCTCCAAGTTTCACTTATAAGGAGGCCGGTTGATTTTGTATAATTGAGCAGAGTTTGTCTTGGAAAGCAAAGGAAATGCAGTGTCTTGCAGGACTGCCTAACCCCTGCTGGCAGAGAAATAAAATGAGAAGCCTGTCTGAATTCACGTGCTTGGCGTAGCTCTTCCCATCGTAACTTTTTTTTTTTTTTTTAATTCCCCCCGATGGGAAGGGGCTGTGCAACTAGGCGGGTTTGCTGCACTGTCCTGGCACGTTTTATTATTGTGATTTTGAATTTCCTCCTCTAGAGACATGCACATTTTACCTTCCGCCCTCCGGGTGAAAGCCTCCCTTTCTTCCCTTCTTTCTTCCTTCCTTCCTTGCCAAAGGATCCTGAATTTCTGAACTAGTTGATAGGGACACAAGTTAGGGCAAAACCATTCATCCTAGCCGAGTCTCACTGAGAATCCTAGAAATTTTACTTTAAAAACTGTTTTTTAAATAAGAAATCTCAACTTTAGAGATGTAAGGCCACCGAATTCCGAGTCGAAGGATCCAGCTGGACTGACGTTGGATGAGCTCCGCGCTCTGCCGTTCTCCCATTTGCCTGCCTGGCCTTCTGAACCTTGTTTCTCTCCTGTTTGTCATGCAGTACGACGATCTACCCCATTACGGGGGCATGGATGGAGTAGGCATCCCCTCCACGATGTATGGGGACCCGCATGCGGCCAGGTCCATGCAGCCGGTCCACCACCTGAACCACGGGCCTCCTCTGCACTCGCATCAGTACCCGCACACAGCTCACACCAACGCCATGGCCCCCAGCATGGGTTCCTCCGTCAATGACGCTTTAAAGAGAGATAAAGATGCCATTTATGGGTAGGTACAATGGGCGGCAGTTTTAGTAGTCGAGACGCGATGCTTCCCCTATTTCCCTTTGCCCTTGGTAAGAGGAAAGCCAGAGCTCTCTGGATTGGAGGTACATTATTGGGTGACTTTTCATTCGCATTGCATGGAGAATTTGGGGAGGCGGCCTGCCCTCCCGGATGCTCCCCATCTCCACATACGCTCGGCGCCCGCCCAGCGCCCCGCTCCGCCGTAGCCGTGCCCGCGAAGGGGTCGCGGTGTGGGAGAAGTTGCCAAAGGTCCCTCGTCTCCTCTCAGACCCCGGCTCGATAGCTCAGCGGGTTGGAGTCCTCGCTTGCTCAGCTTCGCTGGGAGAGCGTTGAGGGTTTCTGAGTGCAGGCGCCTTTGTGTTGGAACGAAACTTTTAGTTTAGGGGAAAATCTTTTAAGCCACTGATTGTTCTGACTTGCTAAGTTTACTCAGCAACCGTATGCTGCCTCTGCCGCCACACAATAAAATCAAGAGAGGACAGTTGCAGGTCAGGCAAAGGGGAACATGCTTTGCATTTAGGGAGTTTGACCACTGTAGTCAAGGAGAGGGGCTCGCTCTGAATTGTTACAGACATTAAGAAACTTCTAGCTGTTTTAGTACTTTGTGTTCAAAGGCGAAACCTGCAGGATTTAGATAGAAGTGGATGCGGGGTGCTCTCCGGCCGGTGCTGTTTTCTGGCTGCGGTTTACACCGTGTTCTCCCCGACCATTCGATTAGACCCTGGACTAGTAAAATCCTTTGAAAGGTCCTTGTGCCTACTGTGTGCTGATGAATTGAGGGACCTCTTTTTACTTTCAGCAACTTTTGTTTCTATTTATTTCTTCTTTTGAAAGAATCACACAACACTGACCTTCCCCAGCTGAAAACACTTTCTGCTTTATTTTCTGGTCCCTTGTGCGATGGGCTTGTTTAAATCCCAGCGTTCTTTCGCAGCGTTAACTGCAAATGCCTTAGGCTCCGGGACGTAATATTTGGGGAAGCTTTGAAAAGGACCCCAAACTGTTAAATTCTCAGCTGGGCTGTGAGAGCTAATAAAAGACTTGAGACACCTCCTTGGACATTAGAAGAAGCTTTTTTTTTTTTTTTTATGGGTTGAGATAAGCGACATCTAGGCCCCTCGCAATACTAGCTGCTTTGCCGTTCCGCAGAGACAAAATGAAATGCTTTACCGCAGGAACATTTGAAGGAACTTTCTTTTGGAGGTGGTGGGGACCATCGGCGAAGGAAGGGAAGCGTGCAGGGAGCTGAGGAGGAGGCTTCCTGCTCTGCGAGGGCCGTGGGTTCGGGGTCGGTAGGTGCAGCCCCCTGACAGTAGGTCCTGCAGCCATAGAGTTCCTTTCCCCGAGTTAGCTGAGCGCCTGCCACCGAGGTCCCCCGATCCCAGGGCTTCAGGAGGCTGCCGTGGAGGAACCCACTTGAAAGAGCTTTCCCAACCCCTGCGCCCAGCGCCTTTCTCCTCCACCAGGTCCTGGATGTGCAGCAGAGGGACGAGGGCTTGTCGGGGTGGGAAATTTAATTCAAAATGGCTGCTGGAACCGCCGGGGTTTTATTCTCAGCAAATGTTAACCAATTTCTCCGGCCAGATATGCTGAACCGATTCTGAGATACAGCCCATGGCTTAGGGCCTCCGACTTCGGGGCCCTAGGAGGAAGGGGAGGTGAGCAGTCACCTGGGTGGGGGAGGGAGGGAGAAAGTAGATGACAAAATCAGAGAGGGGGTCCCTGCCTTGAGCTCCTCCCGCTGTTTTTCTTGGGCGCCTTCTCCACTGACTCGGGACTAACCATTGTGTTGTTTGTGACTGTTGTATTTTCTTGCAGACACCCCCTCTTCCCTCTCTTAGCACTGATTTTTGAGAAATGTGAATTAGCTACTTGTACCCCCCGAGAGCCGGGGGTGGCGGGCGGGGACGTCTGCTCGTCAGAGTCATTCAATGAAGACATAGCTGTGTTCGCCAAACAGGTCAGCAAAATAAATGTTTAAAAAGTAAAAGAAAATAAAAAGAAGGCCTTCCCCTTTCCTCCCCCCGCCCCCACACCTAGTACATTTTCAAAAGGAACCAGCAAATAGTCCACCCTAAGCCATGTCTGTTACACCTACCCTGAGATTTTCCTCCCATGAGTGTCTGTTTGCGGACGACTGAAAATCGCTCGTATTCTTCCCAACTCACGCTCCAGAACCTCACGCAGAAAGCTCACTCTATAAAATAAAATCACAAACACCACGCGCGGTAGCTGCCTTGGACTTGGAGAGCTGGGCAGCGTTCTCTAGAAGCGTAGTTTCTGGTAGATATAACCCTGAGTTCTGGGCTTGTTTTCAGCTTATCTGATTCACATTGAAGTGTTTCTGCGCGGGACAAACTCGGTGTCACCGAGTCACTCCCGGAGGTTACATCCTGTCCCCAACAGTGTAATGAGGCAAGAAACTAGGAAGGCGACCAGATTTCAAATTTTTCTTTCTCCTCCCCCCCTCCCCTTCTCACTTGTATTTAGATTCGCGCAGAAAAACCTCTATTTTCTTCTAATCCAGAACTGGATAACTTGGTAAGAGCGGACCCCTTACTCCCCTCCCCCATCTCCCTTCCCCTCAACCCCCGAGCTTTGCTTTGAGAGCCCTGAGATTTCTAGACCGGTCCTCCCATAGCTGCAAGTCGGTTGCAAATGTTTCCGTCCACGGACAAGTGGTCCGGGACAAGATCTCTGGGAAATAAATTCATCTCGAGAGGGGCCGGGCGAGCTGGCGCGGGGAAATGCGAGCTTTTGTTTTTTATGACAGCCGGGCAGCGCGGCTCTAATCAGCGCGGGGATTTATCTCCCGGCCTGTCAGCGTGTGTGCTTAAACTTTGCGGACTTCCCAGCCCTCAAAGTCGCGTCACCAGGGCAGCGACCGGGCAAGAGCCCCCAAACTACCAGTTCGCCTGAAAGGTGTGCGGAAGGCAGCAGAAAGTTTGCAGTGTGAAAAGCCACAATTTGGGGACTATTGGGAATATTTTCCGTGCACTCCTTTCCAAGGAAACATCTAGTCCAGGGATGTGGCCCTTTGGGGGTGGGGTGGGGGCAGTGGGGCCGAGAAAGGGGAGAGCCGTGGGGGAGGAGAGTGTTTATGATCCCCACTTAGATGCTTTGTTGTTGTTTTAGCTATTTTTTTTCTCCTTAAGAAATATAAACCTCTAGATGGTACCCAGTTGCTGCTATTAAGTTTTAGTGTTATTGCCATAAATCAAAATAACTCTATTTACTGGGGGGAAGGGGGTGGGCTGGAGATGTTAGGGCTGTGACAGCCAATTTTCTGCAAACTGGGAATGGGGTGCTCATTGTTTTTGTATCTTTGCAGATGATTCAAGCCATACAAGTATTAAGGTTTCATCTGTTGGAATTAGAGAAGGTAATTTCTCTAGCCTCTCTTCCTTTTGCTTCCTCCTCACCCCCAAACACACAGTGGGGGAGGGTTCAGAATGGCTGAAGTTCAGACTTCTGAGACATTTGCATAAATGTCTTTCTTTCTGGTAATTAGTGTCAAGGCCAATCTTAGTGTCCATTTTTCTTTGCAGTTTAATTACAATTTCAGCCGCTAAAACTGGGATCACAAACGCCCTAGCCTTGTATTCATTCTTAATACCTTGCCGGCTTTGAATAAATAGTTGCAATTCTATGCATCCCCTTGATGTTTAGAATGCTGCTGTGAGTTTGCTTCACAGGTTACCTTCGTGGACCCTTCTCTTCCTTTTCCTCCTCTTTGCTACCTCTGGGGGGTGGGGGGGGAGTTTTGTTTAGTTTTGGTGAGTTTCTGGAAGACAGTCTGAGAGCAGCAGCAGGTCAGATACAGAGGAGAGGCGGAGGGGGAGGAGGAGGAGTGGGCAGGCAGTCTGGAGGAGGTGGTGGGGGAGGCACATTAAACGTTTTGCAGAGACAAAGCAGAGTTGATAGTTGTGTCAATTTCTTGAATCTGCGAATCCTGCAAACACCCCACCTTCACACTCAAGAAAGGGTGTGGGATAACACGATTTTGCTAGCTATTCTATAAATCTCAGCAATAAAAACTTAATGCATTGTAATTCAAACTAACATTAAATTGCAGGCACACTCGGGTTTCTTGTGAATTTTTGCATGTCAGTGATGCCTGGGGCCTGTAAGAGACCACTCCACTTTCACCTAAATATCTTGAAGATTTCTTTTTCCTTTTTAAAAAACATAATCAATTTGATACGTTTTTGTGGCTATAGGTTTTTTTCACATCGTGAGTATTGGCAATTGATTTCCTTCTAATTTTTGAAGGAAATATCCTAAAATATGCTTCTTATGGATCGAATCTCTAATTACAAATGTTACAGGGACTTGTTTTGTCAGGCATATATTCTGTGCCACCACGGTGCTGCTCCTTTGGAGATATAAATATATATATTAGTATATGTATATATACATATATACACACACATTTTTTTCCTTAGACACATTGGAAAAGGACTTATGATAAAGTAACTGGATGAAATTAAATAGTTTACCTTAAATGTCACCCACCCAGGTCACCTCTCTAATGGCCACAGCCCTGGGAGCAGATGAATTTAACACGGGTGTTGAATATGTTGTAGCTTGTGAATCATCTTGTCACTGTCAATTTTCTGGGATATCTCTATTTTGCAAGAAAAGAAAGTTATTCCTAATTCTGGATGCGTCTGGGGGTCTCTGGAGGACAATTGCCCTGTGTTTTCCCTATTTGGAAGTTTAGATCTCACAAGGGGGGTGGATTGCACTTGTCAATGTCATTTATGCACTCCTGATTATATTTCCATTTTTTTATTTCTATCATAATGTAGGTACACGAATTATGTGACAATTTCTGCCACCGGTATATTAGCTGTTTGAAAGGGAAAATGCCTATCGATTTGGTGATAGACGATAGAGAAGGAGGATCAAAATCAGACAGTGAAGATATAACAAGATCAGCAAATCTAACTGACCAGGTATGCGCTTTTCAATTTCAACATCCCTGGGATAAAAATCTGTATGCATATTGCTTGCTGGGTCACTACCACCTCCTTTTATTATTTGCATATGATTAAGTCCCTTTTAGATACATTTCCATCGAAATGAAAATTTTTGAATAATGTGGCTATTATTGCTTCATTAAGGCTGGCTCTGGGATTCGACCTGGAGAGATGAGCTTGTAAAAGCTTTGCCTGCAAACTTGACCTGTTTCTTGTCGCTTTTAATTTTTGTCTTTATTTTATTTACCCTCTATAATAATGGGAGTGTTAACTGCCAGTGACCGCCTCTGATTGTAGGGCTTTGTTCTGGAGTATTTTTTTTTCCTTCTATCTGGAAGAAAAGAAAAGTGTAGGGTCTGCTTATTTCTTATTTTATTAGGAATAAACCAAGATAGGTGGTCTAAGAGAGACTGTGAGAGTTTGAAATCTAGCAAATGCTGGCTATTTTCTCCCTGTCTATACGGTTCATTAGCCTGTCTTGTCAGTTTTTCTCGGCCGAACGCTTCTAGACCTCACTGAACATTGCTTTGTGCAGCGCTCCTGCAAGCTCGCCCATTTTATTGTACTTAATAGAAAAAATAAGACCAGGCCGAGGTTATAAAAACAGATAAATATGGACATTTCTCCTCCTCCTTTCCACTCATCCTCCAGCTGGTACGTGCTCTGGGCCCTCTGGGTTGGCAGCTTTTGGAAGTGTCAGCGTCAGGGGCACCCCGGTGACTCCCTCGGTGTGGCGGGTGGGGGACCTCGCGCCGCCTTCGCGCTCAGCTGCCGGCCTTTGCTTGCTTCACCCCCTCCTCTCGCGTCCTCCCTCCTGGCCCTTCTTTCGCTGCGTTGCTAAGTGGGGACGACTTTTATTTGGAGTTGCTGGGGGGATTTCTCTCCCTCTCTCACCCCAACACCACTGTTTGCTCCCAGTGTCTCTGTCTCTCTCTCTCTCTGTCTCTCCTGTCCCTGTGTCTCTGGATTGGTCCAAAGGAGTTGCAAAAATGCAATGAAAGTGAAAACATGAGGAGTGGGTGAGAGAAAGCAGGGCTCAGGACAGCTCTCTGTTGTGAATTGTTGCAACGCGTCTAGAGAGTTGGGTTGGGGGCCACCTCCGCCTCTCCATGAGTAAGTGAAGGCCCAGAGTTGTTTCTCTTTCTGACTTGGCACGTGAATCCCGTCTTGGGGGAGAGATCAGCCTGCCTTTGTTAAGCCAAAGGACAGCCAGTCATGCAGAGTTTTCCTTTGCAAGCTCTGCCATGATCACTGTTGGCCAGCCGCTATCTTGTCGAGTCCTTGCCCGAGTGCCCGACTCCTCGGTCTTGGTGTCATCCTAAAGTTTTCTTCTCTTAACATCACCCCCCTTAAAATAAATTCCTAGCTTGGATTTCTCTGGGTAACCCCGCGACAGAGGCTGAATTCCTCCCTTCCCACGAGGAGTGGAGGGCACGCAGAGCCGAGCTTTAAAAGCACCAACGCGCCGGGTCCTTACTATAATTTGGCAAGTTGTAAACTTTCGGCAGTGTAGACGAGTGCACAGAACAGGCAGCCTGCGCAATCCTGGCGCGGCCCTGCCGAGGTGCGAAACCTGCAGGCGGCTCCGGCCCCGGCCCCGCGGGCTGTCGGGCCTCCCTCCTGGTTCAGCCTGCCAGCCCTCGCCCCGGAGCTGTTAAATGCAGATTCCACTGAGGAACCCTCGGGTAGCTGCTGTTGAATAAAAATTGTAATCCAACAAGCCTAACTAGAAAATGGGATTCTAAAAGCTCCGGAGTGCTGGGTACATAAAGCTATTTGAGCAAATTACAAGAATCGCTTAGGGGCATGAATGAAATCAACACTTTAATTGCCTCCAAAATGAAGATTTATACCCCATTTTCTCAACGAATCATTATTTTATTAAAGTCAAAGATAAAGGACCAAAGTTATGGGGTTTTTTGGGGGGATACAAAACTGATACAACATCACTGAGTTCTCCCCCTAGTCCTTCGGTGAACTTTTGTTACCCGATTGCCTTAATTTGAGATATGCAGATTGGTGGGCAATTGTACTGGGTAAAAATTCCCCTTTTGTTCTCCTCTCCCACCTATAAAATGAGAAGCGCACACCCCGGCCCGCCGTTTACCAGTGGGCTTCGCAGCTGTGGTTGAGCTCGTGGTGCCGTTGGCCTATGCGCGTGGGCGCACTCGCGCGACTCCTCGGGCTCCCCTAGGTCTCGGTTGGTCCGAGAGCAGCAAACCCAAGTTTGTTCTAATTGTGCGCTTGCCGGGAACCAGGAGCTAGTGTGCCTGGGCTCCCTTTGGAGCAGGGAGCGCAGAGCGCGGGGCACACGCGGGACTGTGCCTCGGACGCGGAGTGGAGGCCCCTGTCCTGGGAGGTGGGAAGCGAGGGACAAGCCATAGGGTCACCCCGTGGGCGCCAGTTCTCCCAACTGGAGCCTGCTCGCCGGTCCCCGAGGGCGCTGGACCCCTAGTGCGGCGCCTTGGGAGCCGGGCCCAGAAAGGACGGCTTCGTCACCTGTCTGCGAATGCGGCCCGGCCAGTTTGAGCCCGGGCGGAGGGTGCGCTCCGGGACTGGATGCTTCAGGTGTGGCGCGAGCGCTGGGCCTCGTTAGCTCATTAACCCCTCTGTCTCTAGGGCCTGCTGGTGGCACGGCTTATTTTATGTTACTTTTTTTTTTCCTCGGAGAGCGCGAAGGCTGCCTCCCGCGCAGGGACCTGGGATCGACGACTTTGATACCAGCCGGTTTCCCGGAGGGCTAAGTCGGCGGAAATCCACTTGGCCTTGTGGTGGTGTTGGTTTGGGTGGTTTTTGTTTTGTTTATCAGATTAAGACCCCAATAGAAACCGTAATCCCGTTCTCCCCTATCAAGTCCTCCCCCATTCCCACTCCCAGGCCCCGAGGTCCCAAGCCTGAGAGCCACCTCTCGCCGACGCAGGCCTCCCGGGCGCCCTCTCCTGACCGCGGCGCTCCGGGTTCGGCACTGACGCTCCCGACGCCCTGGGACTGGGGGCAGCGAGAGGCACCGGCGGCTTCCCGGGCACGGCATGGGGCGAGGGCCGGGCCGCGACCCGAGAGGCAGGCGTCGAGGCGAGGGTTGAGCCTGGTTGGCGGGGGAAAAGGACGCAGGTCCGAGGGGAGGTGGGGCGCGTGTTTGGGGACCCAGGGTGGAATCGGGAGGGCCAAGAGCGGTTAGGCGAGGAAGAGCCTGGCCTCCCCGACCCTAGACTTCAGGCCGTGCTCCAGGAAGGGGCCGTCGAATGAAGCCTTCCTTCCTAGAGCTGTCTGTTGCTCGCGACTCCTAGAATCTAAGCATTTTCCACTCCAAGAACGGGTCGAGAGAGAGTGGAGAGAGGAGCGAAGAGTCTCCGGGCCCCTAAGGCCGCCTCCCGGGGTGGCCACGCCTGCTCCTAGCGAGCAGGGACTAGCAGGGCCTGCGCTCGGGCGCCAGCCCCGGTTCTTCCACAAGCAGCGCAAGGCAAAAAAAAATGGTCCCTTTGGATTACAATTTTTATTCAACAGCAGCTCTCTGGGGGGTCCTCGGCTGGATCTGCATTTAACAGCTCCTGGGCGAGGGCTGGCAGGCTGCACAGGGCGCCCTGTTGCATGTTAATCCAGATTTGTCTCTGACATCTGGGGAGAAGTAATGTGGCTCGAAGAGATGGAACCAGAAGGCCACGCTCGCCAGGCAGGTTAAATGCCAAGTGCTGTTGAGCTCCCGGGGGAGGGGGGACGGCCGCCGGGGCTGTGAGGCCCGGACTGGAGAGCGCCAGGCCTCCGGGCCTCGGGGATGCGGGGCAGCCCTGGGCCAGCGCTCTTTGGTTCCCAAGTGGGCCAAGAACCCTGGTGGCGATTGTTTTATTTTTAAAGTCCAGAATGTTGTTTCTAAAGCATAGCTTGAGTTAAAATTCTTAAAAGAGAACTTGAACTTGACTGAAAACACTCTGTCCCTGCAAAGTGGGATGGAGATGCATCCAAGGGAGATTTAAGTTTTCTCTTTGGGGAAGGTGTTATGGTAAGGAATGGGCATGGGGGGCAACGAACAGCTTAATGTCCTTGAAAAATTGGATCTGCTGCTTTAGAAAAAAAAAATGAGGCCATCAGATATTTACTAATAATAGGCAGGCAATTTATTTTCATCCAATAAGAAAACTGGACACAAACAGGAAGACAAGAAGATGGTCCTTTTGTCATGTAGTTTGTTTCTAAATGCTAACACATAGATACATCTTATTTAAATTGTAAATACTTCAAAAGGTCCCACCTAATGCCTTAATCCTGGAACCTCTCAGTCCACCAGGCCTTGCAAGCCATGGGGTCCTAGAATCGTCTTACTTTACTTTTGATTGTTGTTATGGGTCATGTGGTGCACTCTTAAATCCTTTTTTGAAATATGTCAAAGGGAAATTATGGCAAGATTCTGTTTAATGATTAAATAAGGTGTTGACTGCTTGTCACTACATTGGCTAATTGGGATGGTCATTCTAGGCCCTTTATTGCTTAGTATCTTTTGAATTAAACGTTGGTTGTTTACCAGGTTGTGTTTTTATTGTTACTTTCTGATTGGCTTTTAGTATATATTTATGTGTGAATTTCAGAGTACGGATGTATTGATTCTTAACAGGGGCATTTAGAAAACATTTTAGAAAAAAAAGTAGTAGAGTATATGTGGATAGGTGGAGATCAATTACTTTGTTAAATATCTCGAAGTCTAAATGCTAATACTACAAAACTTACTCCCTTTTCATAGTTCCTTCCTCTCCTCCTCCTCCTCTAATCTCCCTCTCCCTCTCTCCCTTTCTCTCTCTCTCTCTCTCAGTGGAAGTCCCCAATGTAAGTTCCGTGGTTAATGGAAAGCAATGATACTAACGCTACTTTGTACAAAGTAAAACCCCATAACAGTAACTATTGTTCAGTGATTTAACTAGCTCTGTGGCAATAGGTCGCTCAAATAGCAATCCCTCTCCCACCAGAATGACTCCATTGCTCACGAG